CTACTTCAAAAAAATCCTTTCAGATACTGCCTTAGTTATCAAGGCAAATGATTTAAAGAAGCCTTGCCTCAAATATCCTGATTGCTGGGACAGCTGTCCCTAGGAAGGATGCACTCACATCTGCAAATCACAAATTACAGTACTGCTGCTATGAATGCATGAAGTTAGGAAGGACTATCATAAGCTGCCTTGTATTTTCAAGGCAGTTATTTTGAATTATTGGAAAAACACTTATTAATTCCCTAAGGAAGCCAGATTTCAGACACCACATAAAAAAAGCTCTTCTGGAAGAGGAAAGCAAACCTTATTAACTCCTAGTTACACCTTCACAGAATTCAACAGAAATCCAGATGTCTTAACTGTAACCTATGGTCTGTACCCACATCATCTGTGCTTTTGGCTCCAATTTTACCTCAACTAAACTTGCTTTCATTGAGTTATTTTTTGTTATATATATACACCTATTTGTGCAGGCTACTGTTCAACTGAAACCAAAAATCTTTTTCAAAACTTCCCCCTTTATTTGTCTTGGGGAAACAAGAATGGTTGAAATTAATTTTTAACTTCTTGGTCCAATGTAGTGGTCCTACCAGTTTCACAACTGAAAACACTGTTTCTTGCTGATCCTATGTAAAAAAGCAAAGCCTTTGATCAATACAAGACTGAGGGTCAATCTCAGAAAATAAGCAGCCCACAAAAAACTCACTCTTGAGAAAACCCACGTGGAAGTGAAAATAGAGGTGATGTAAAGGTATGTCCTCACTGTAGCTGGTTATTTGCTGGAATGTGGTGCTGATACTTTTATATTCAAGTTGTGTTAAAATCCTCTCAGTTAATAAGCTGTTAACATGTCTGAGTTATGTATTTCACATTTTTATCACCAACAACAGTAACAGATATATTTGAAGCACATTGGAGGAACTTCAAAGTCATTTATAAGCACTAATGATAAGGAAGCATTAATCCTTATTTTGCAGATGAGGAACAGATGTACAAGACTCTCTTGTGCTTTTGTGTGAATCACTGCAGCAGAGGCAGAAACTGAACTTGAATTATCTACAACCTCAACCACCTCTACACAAACAGTTTTCTGTAAAAGCATGAACATGGGACACCTTCCTGACAAGTAAACAGAAAGGAGGAATTTTCACTGTAATCCTCTTAAAAGGCTGTACACGACTCCCACCTCAAAAGTCAAAACCAAACCCCAAGAACACAACAGTACATGCTGTATTTTTAGAGAGAACTTTAATCAGGTGGGGCAGTTTCTCTGTCCCTCCTTGCTCAGTCCATTACAGCAATCCCTGCCTGCAAATCAGTCTTGTTTGGAGGATTTACTCCTTGTTATGTAATTCCAGATATTTCTTGTAGCATTGAGCTTTTACTGTTCTTAGGTAAGAAAAAAGGGAAGAATGACTCTACAGAAGGGGTTTCAGATGCTTTATTTTTACTGCCAAAGACATAGTTTTCTGAGGTGTTTGGCACTAAGGGTGCAATGTATTAAAATTATTGATTGCATTTTAAAAATATAAGTACTGTTCTGATACTGGGCTCAACTATTATCATTAAGATATTGCAGAATTCTAAACAGCTTTGAATGTGCACCCTCCTGTGAATGTAAAGTGCCCTTGCCCATGTTACACGCACAAACCACAGCATTTCACAGAGAAACAGAGTAAATGCCACTAACTTTGCTCCTCACACAGGTGGTACTGCATCCCTAGGATGACAGGAACAACTCCACAGTGTCCCTTCAATTCCTATAACGCATTTTTAGTTTGATTTCAGCACATTTGTACTCTACCCTGCTGCTTTTTTTTTCCCTGAACAATGTTATGTGCTGCTCTATAGGAGAAGCTTAAGTACAGCTATTTTGAAGGTTCTTATTTTTAAATATCCTATATTTTCTCAATCAAATCTTGATTACTGAAGGGGCTGCAAATAATATTTGGAATAAATGGCTGGGCTGGATTTGGCTGGGTAGAGTTAAATTTCTTCCCAGTAGCTGGTAGTGGCTGTGTTTGGATTTGTGCTGGAACAGTGCTGATAGCACAGGGAGGTTTTAGTTATTATTTAGCTTAGGCATGCACAGAGCCAAGGCCTTTTCTGCTCCTCTCCCACCCCACCAGTGCTGGGCCTGGGGGCACAAGGCCTTGGGAGGATACACATCCAGGAGAGCTGACCCCAGCTGGCCACAGGGACATCCCAGACCATGAGGTGTCACTCAGCCAAAGTACACAAAGCTGGGGGAAGGAGGAAGGGAGAGACATTTGGAGTGATGGAGTTTGTTTTCCCAAGGGACTGTGACCTGTGATGGAGCCCGGCTTTCCTGGGATGGCTGAGCACCTGCCTGCCCAAGGGAAGAGGGGAGTGGATGCCTTGTTTAGCCTTCCTTGTGCACACACTTTTGCTTTATCTTTTAGTGTTTATCTCATCCCACCAGCTTTCTCACTTTTACCCTTCAGATTCTCTGCCCAGACCCATGGCAGGGGAGGGAGTGGGGCTGAGCTGCCACGTGGGGTTAAACCACAACAGTGCCACAATTGGGTGACCCAGCACAGTGAAAGCAGGGTCTGACTCAGGGCTGGGTGAGAGACTGCAGCTACAGGGAGACCCTGCCAGCAGCACGTCTGTGCCAATAGAAAAGAACAGTTGATGGCATCAACCCAAGGTCAGCTCCTCAAATTTGGGAGCCTCTTTTCTTCCAGACACTGTAAAGTCACTTGTTTAAACGCAGCCAGTCGGCAACAATTAAACATCTAAACAAAACATGCAGATTTGGTGCTCCTTTTGAAAGCTCCCCCACGCCATGCTGTTTATTTTCCACTTCTCACAGTCTTAATTATCCAACAATCAGGCGACAAAATGGCGGTGGGAGTGAGGCAGACATTTTGTAACTCTCACTGAACAGGACAATGGGAACGCGCTGAGGGAAAGGCAGTGACCCAAGGGGACAAAAGGAGCGTGCAGATCTACAATGGCCCAGCTTTTAAGCAAACCCTTTCTCTTATTTTACAGCAAAGTTAAAGCCAAGAAGCACCGAGGAGCCACCTGACAGCATTCAACAGCAAAGTTAAAGCCAAGAAGCACCGAGAAAAAAACCAAGAAGCCACCTGACAGCATTCGACCACTGAGCAGGCAAAATTATAGTCCAGGGCAGCCCTTTCCCAGCTGTTTGACTGTGGTGAGCCCAGCTCATCACCCATCTGAGCAGACACTCTTTTCTGGGAGCCACATGGACCCAGGACCACCCATTGACACTGACTCAGTCACTGTAATCTTAACCACATTCTTCCCTTGAAAGTCAAGACACCAGTGTTTTCTATTAGGAAACTTCACAGTCTTCTGCACAGCTCTGAGAGCACTTGCAAGATAACCAGCAAATGAGCACTTAAAGAATGGAGCCTACACCTCCATCTCTGCAAGTGACTTTGGATTCAAATTTCACTGTCTTGTGTGTAATAAGCCAGGGACAGCTAGAGCTGAACAAAGCAACACCAGAGCTGATAAAAGCAAAAAGCACCAAGAATTAATAAGCACCAAGAATTAATAAGCACATATTTCCTTCAAGTGTGTGTCCACCAGCCTCCTTGTAAAAGTATTAGCACCTGATAGGTCCTAAGAAGCAAATATGCAAATCTTCAGGAAAAACTGCAAAGCACACGCTACTCATTAAAAATTTAGGTACCTGCCTAATTACCAGTTTAGAGATTTAGAGATTTCACACTGTTTCCTGGGAGGAGACGAAAACACAAACCACCTAAAAAACAAAACTACAGCTTTCTAACTCCAATTACCCTTTAACAGAAAAGCTATGTTATAAATAAAAAAAAATGGCTGAGCGGATTTTGCTTACTTTTTTTTTTAATGACACAGAATAAACAAAACAGCTGAGCTAGTGGTGTACTTGGAAAGATGTAAAAATCTGTTAGCCTTTCCAAGTACACCAACACCCTGGAACTATATAATGCAAAACCAATCATCATTATTATTTTTTATGCAGCTCTGACTTTGAGGGACTTGTAATAATGAAACCAACAAAAAAGGTAAGAGAGATACATTCCTACACAAAGGCACGCTGAATACACAGGATCACACAGGTACACTGAGGCTAGAAGAGTTTAGGTCAAAGCATTTCTATTCCCTTTATTCCACTTCTCCAGTGTGATGCTGCTACTTGATATTCAAAGGACCAGAAGAGGTGACTGAAGGGGCAGGGCTGGCCCTCAAAAGCCAAGGATAGGTGACCCCTCCCAGAGTGCAGGTGGCAGAGTGAACCACCTACCTGGAAAAGCAGTCAAAAGAAGAGTATTTTGAAACTTTATCTCTTGGAAGAAATGGCAAAAACCTGACCATGTTAAAAGAAAAATACTCTGAGCCCCCAGGGACAGCAGGGTAAAATGTTCTCAGAAAAGGGAAGAATTTAGCCTACAGTTGACATACGTTTTCCAGCAACCCATCTCTAAAGCCATGGATTTAAAATCAACCTGGATTACAGCTGTCCTCTGCTTTTGTTACAAACTCCCAAAATTGTGGAAACAATTCTGAGTTGTTACAAACTTGAAAGCAGGTCAAAGTTTAGGAAGACATTCCCTATAGGCTGTTATCCTTCAGAGTTAAGATATCTCTAATCTGAGCAGGGAGAAAAGAGCTCTGAATTAACACAAGGCTTTACAGTGAAAGTGTGGGAAACTTGTGGCTTGACAAAACTTCCCTGCAAACCCAGGTGAAGTTCAGTGGGTTCTGTGATATTTCACAAAGACTGTCTGGATGACTTTGAACTTGAAATTCAAAGTGGAATCCAGCAGCTCTAAACTTAAACACAGCAAGACAAAGATTAGGAAAAAAAATGTTTGCATGTACTCCTGGGAAGAATATACGAAGTTTCACCTGCTGACATGGGAAAAGCAGAAATCTACACACCCTCCAGCTGCACTTCAATTAAAATAAAGACAGTAGGGAGGGGTGGCAGAGGCACATTGGTTATGTTTTTGACTTACCTAAGAGAGGTGGGCACGAAGGAAGCAAAAGAAAAGGACTGTAAGCAGAAAAAGAGAAAGGTGAAGTGAGATGATTACAGAGAGATGAGAATAAGGATTAAAAACTAACCCACAAGTATTGGGAAAAAGGCTTAGAAACCATACTGAAAATCAGGGAATGGGAATAAAAAGTCTAAGCATGTTACTTAGAGCACTTTTCTTTGACATGCTTTTTTTCTTAAGTGTAGAAAAATTTTGAGCAGTAAAGAATTTTGATTCTACTATTAAATCCCTAGAGAAAGAGAGAAAAAAATCCTAAATTTTGTCAACACACTTTTCTTCTCTGGGGTTCTGCTTCTTTGGTGAATTACTCCTTAGCCACTTGGAAATGCTGGAAATCACATATGCTGACTCTAGAGTAATACCCCCTGCCTCCCCAGGTCTCCAATTACCCTTTAACTGAGCAAAGCTGTAAGAAAAGTAGCCATTTGTACAAAACTGTCAGGCAGATCACCTTGTGGGCACAGGACCATTCCCACTATGCTGCCATTTCTGCCCATCTGACTGAGGGAAGTTTGGGAAAGCAGGAGTAGAAAAATATTTTGGGAACAATCACAAAGTATCACATCTGCATTTTTTATTATATAGTTCTCTGTCTGGTTTTGACTAATAGATATCCTGATGGAGGAACTTAATAGTTACACAGACAAGAGAAACTGGGATTGACACAGCTGTGAACATACAAGGGCTGCAGTTTTTGATTGCAAACCTGGAGAATACTGAAGTAAAAAATCGCCCGGATAAAATGAACTACAGCAGCAAACCTCAGAATGCTTCCTTGTTAGTTTAAGAAAAACTGTATTCCCCATTATGACCTAATGTATCTCTTTACATACATTCCTTCTTTCTTCAAGACCAATTGCTGTGGCAGCTGAAAGAATTGCTTTAATAAAGCAATACCCCCCTATATTTTAAATACTGCTGGTTCCTGAGACAAAGAAATCCACCCCACAACTCCAAAGACACAAAATACTACAACACAAAAGAAGCCAAAGGCAAAAAAAGAGAATCCTGCACACTAAAGGAATTTAGTGAGGAAGGTGGTATTTCTGGTTCACAACTCCAAGCACAAGCTTGCTGCCTTTTACAAGGTTTATTACCAATATCTCCTACACCTCTAACTTCATTCTGGATCCCCATGGCAAACCAATCCAAACCTGTGTCTCCTGATTGGGCTCCAATAAAAGCATAATGATGCATAATGTAAGTGTTGCAAGGATACAGCATTAAGTGCTGAGAGCTCTGCACCCACTGAGACACCTGGGATCAGGTGAAATGTGCTGTGAGAGAGGCTCACAAAGGACCCTCTGCACATCTGAGCAAACAGCCTCCAAGGAGGGATGTCTCTGCAGGATCAGGTGAGTAACAATCCTACAGCTCTCTCTTGGTTACAGAGACATGGAGATGCAGATATAACCAGAGCCTGGTGGGAAATTCTGGGAAGGAAATTGTGAACATCTTGTTTCACTGCAGTGGAATGCTAACTCTGCTGTCCCTGCACACTGCCATTCTTCAGACAGGGACTTCACTGCTGTGTACTTTGTGCTGGCCTGGAGGGACTTCTGCCTATACCAAAACATCACCCAGGCAACTAAGAGTTAACAGAAGATGTACAAAAGAGAACAATTGCACATTGTCATGGGAGATGAAATTAAATATCCCAGCAGACATTCCTGTTCATATGACATTCTGGCCAACAGCCTCCTCAGATACGACAGTGATAACAATGCAGCTACTTTCATTACTAATGCTAATTCAACGGGAATTTAACGGAGTAAGTAGTTTAAATTAGCATTTTCTTTTAGGAATTCTGGGCTGGCAGTAGGAACATCTGTCTCTCTGAAGTGATAACAGAGAGCTTAAGCTTCAGGTCTGGCTGTTCTGCAACATGACGCATTGCATTACTAACCCAGAGCGAGGTAATCATTCTCCTGCCAGCATTAATGAGTTTCTAGCTACCTAAGAGTCCTTAGAACTAATGAGCACAGGTAGCACGGCTGGCAGGGCAGGAGGCTGGGCCCTAGACCTGATCTCTTGTGCTGCCACCTCCAGGCAGTGCCCTGGGCCCCACTCTGGGAACGCTCTAAGGTGCAGTTCTGGCACGGACCTCGACCTATTCCTACTTGTGTGACAGTGACTGCCCCCAAACCCAGCCCTGGGCTCCCAGGGTGATTGATAGTGGCACAGCCTGGCTGGATCAGCAGCTGCTGTGCTGCACCAACTCCAGTTTCTTTATTGCTTTGCCCATTTTGGGAGCACTTGTCCTTCAGAACAGGCTCCCAGAGGGCTCTCTGGCTGCCAGGGAAAGCACGCTCCACAGACAGAGCTTTCTGGGAGAGGATGGAGCTAAGGTCCCAGGAACCCTTGTGCTGGCTCTGTAGTTTACACTTCATGCTCTCTTTTTTTTCCCCCCATAAAGTATTTATTTTCTGAAATCCTTTAAGAACTGTGTCATTAACACTGTATTTCTGATTCTACACAGAAGCTGCTTTTTGAAGATATTTTGCAGAATAAATTCTGCACAGCTTATTCCATATATGTTTTTTACTTTTGAAAGCATCCCTCTCAGTCACACTATGTATTTTTGAGTAGGAATTACTTTAGAATAGATCACAGTTTGATGTAATCGTCAAACTTTTTATTCCTTTGCAACTGTGAAAGAGTTAATCCCACATCTTAATGGGAGTTTGCCCTTAATAAGAAAGCATTAAAATAAGCCAAGAATAATAATCTAAATGAACGCCATTCTTTTACTTTCTGTCAATATTTTCATAGTGACAAATAGATCAAACACAAGATATTTTTTAAGGCTTCCCCCCCACCCCCCCTTGTAAATCATAAATGCTTTGGTGTATTTAATTTCAAAATGAGTTCCCTGTGGATCAGGCTAACACAACGGATTAAGAAAACCTTCCCAAACCCTGCTGCATCTGAGATGGAAAAATACAAAAAACGTTCTTTTGACGTTTCCCCCTGCTCCTTTTTCAACTGTTCCTCTTTCCCTACACCAAAGGAACCAAGCTGTCAATGATAATCAAAAGTTTCTTAGTCCTCTTCTGAGGCTTCAAAACACTGTAATACATATTTTTTCTAAATAAATAAAGGCTTTTATTCAGAGGAAAATATTCATGTGACTACATATTTGCTACACCAGACAGATATAGCTGGTATATTTAGATAGAAAGATCCCCTCTGCAAGATGAAAATAAAGGGAATATCTGTGTTTTGAGACAGTCTGCACAAGTAGACTGTTTGTGAGAGACCCAATGAACTGTTACTCTTGCATCTGTACCAGTTTTAAACCCTCCTAAGCAAGGTAAGGAGAAAATTCCGCCCAGGGAGAGGTGTTTGTAAGACCTGACCAACTTTTCCATGCAAGGGCATTGGCCAGACTCTGAAAATACTCCTTTGCAATAATTGCTCATCACAAGGAATTTAATTTGCAGATGTGAAAGTCCTTTCTCCTGTCCTTCTGTCTTACTGGTTACACAACACCAAGGGCTCCTCAGTGAAATGTAGAGCACAGCTGTTCACAGCTGCTTTAACACATGGTCACCAGCCTTGTTACTGAACAGGGGAGGACTTGGTTCACTGCCCCACGAAATCTGTCTGATGGCAAGTCCTGTTCCTAGAAAAGGCTTCTGGATGAACTGCAAGCTCTGGTCCAGCTGTGGGCAGATGTGAGGGCAGCGGAGGCAGGGGTGGCAGGAGAGCCCTGTGAATGTGGCTGTGCTACAGCCCCAGTGCAGAGGGGTCCTGGCTCCCTCCTCCTGCAGCAGGACCAGAGATGGAGGCCTACAGCTAGAAGCAAAAGTGACAAAACAAGCTCTCTGTTCCATAAATCACCAGCTCTTCCAGCTGGCCCAGGCAGCTGTGATGTCCTGCCCATCAGAATGCCATGGAGGCAGCCTGGGATCACCACTTCCATAGGTGCTAGGTGCCACACTTGGCCCTCACCCAAACAGAAAGTGTCCCCTCTAAACATTTTGCAAGAGTGGTAAAGGTAGGGACAAATTACTTGCAAATGCCAAGATTTACTGCAAGATTTACCAATGTCTTTGGAGGCAGAGGCCAGCCTGCAGCCTGAACACAAAGGCTCAGGGAAACAAAATTCCTGGTGCAGCTCTAAAAGACTCTGAATTTCAGCTTTAGCATGGAAATGGTTTTGGTTACTTACCACATATTTGAACAATTGAAGAAGGTTTTTTCTGTGTTTACTTTGGAGCAAGCTATTTTTAAGGTCACAGTCCCTGCTAAAGGAGGAAACTGTGCCTCTGAGGTATTGGGAATTAAACAGAGGAAAGAAAAAGGCACAGAGAAAGTAGCTGCCTTACAGAGAGAACTCAAATATTTTGTTTTCCTTCTTTGTGCAGTCTGTAGTCAAAAAAGAACTTTACAGTAAACACTAACTCATGAGTTTTTTTTTAATGAACGTAATTCAAATTCACGGGAATTCTTTTTTAACTCCTGGAATCCCTTCCTGATAAACTGTAATACAAAGGGACATTCCCACCTGCAGATTTCCACTTGGCTTTTAGAGTCTCAGAGCACATGCTGACCACTTCCCTGTCAGTGGTGACACATCACGGCACCTAAAGCCAGGCAAGTGTTTTCTGCAGTCAGTTTTCAGACCTGGAGATACAGATGAGGAGGTGGAAGGGAGGCAGCAAATGTATGGAGAGCCTTGGAAAAGCCAATCAAGACAGAAAACAGACATGGCAGAGGGCACATATTTTGCTGTGACCACAGACCTTTGTGGCAGGAACCAGAGGAAACCAATGCCAAAGGGATCGTGCAGGAAAGGATGGGAGCAAGCAGACAGAGAGGCTGCAAAGACAAGCAAGGAATTCCAGCCCAGGGAAGAGCAGGGCCTGCTGTTATCAGCCTGCAGCCTGCCCTGCCCCTGGTCCAGGAGGTCACACAACACTTTAGCACAGCAGAGCTACACTCTGTATCTGACACCAGGAATTAACTCTGGAGCCTTAGGGCTTAAATATTGCAGAGAAGGATCAAAGCCAGCAGCAATATGAAAAGAGACTTCTTTCACAACTTAATTGCTCATTTGCAAAATACCAATGTTATTTATTTAAGTAATTATGACCTTTTTGATGCACTTCTAATGTAAATGCTCATGTGTGATTATCAGAAGAAAAGCATTATAATAAAATACTAATACCTTACACCAGGAGTTGCCCAATTAACTTTGCTGGGATAGCATTCCTATAAAAAAGGATCTGCATTGTACCTCTTTGAGGCAGGGGTTACAGCCATTTCCAATTCTGTCCCAGGCTCTGCACTTGCAGAAGACAAATGCATTTGGAGCCATTGTGCAGATGCTTTTTTCTCATACAAGTACCATGAGAAATACATCAAGATTTTGGGAATCCCTCCTTCAGCTGGCCTCTGCTGTTTCTGTCATATCCCAGATTATGGTGGATGCCTGTTCCTCCAGTTTAGTGCCAAGAAGTATTTTTTTGAGGTGCAGAAGATTTCTTCCATGGCTGTAATTAAACAGATCAAACATGTACAGGCAGGGAACAGCTTGTGCAAATAAGTCCAGAGGACATATAATGTCAACTAAAACTGGAACAATACCAGGAGGGCCAGAAAGTGAAGGAAGACTCTTCCATGCCTTGACAGTGGTGTAACACTGGACATCACCTGTTCCTTATGTAGATGTCAGCAGCAAGATACAATGATGAAGGGAATATCATTAGTATTTACTTATTACTTGGGCCAAACTGGGATACAGAACAGCAGTTCTTGACTAGAAGAGAACAGCAGCTCTTGACTAGAAGATGATAAACTCTGGGGAAAAAAATGGGGATGGGAGGTGTATACAAGAGTTCTATGAGTGGAAAAATAAGAATTTATATGAGTTACTCCTTCAAAAAGGGCATGCTCTGTCTCACACCCAGGTATCACAGTTAGGATACAGCTTCTGTTTCAGTTGTTTCTCAAATCTGAGACATTAATAAAAATGGGACAGGAGACAATGACAATGTAAGATCATTTTCTCTTCAGAAATTGTCTTTAGATGCATCTACACATTCATATGGAGCCTCACCTGAGTAGGTTTTTTTAATCACCTGCACAGATACTCTGTAACACGCGTGTGTTAATGTAAGAAAGCAAAAATACATATCAGAGCTGACTGCTACTGGTGGGAAGGGAAAATGTGAGACTTCTCAACCCCAAGCAAACAAGTGAGTAGGCTTTAATAAAGTCAAGCAGTACTGTTAGCTGTATTAGCAGCACTAAAGTGTCCTCTAGGTATAAAAGGTATAAAAGAACCATGCATGCAGAATGATAGCACCAGTACATTTAAGAACTTAGAGTATTACAGCCATATAGTTGCCACCTTAAAAACCAAGCTTTCAAGGGTTCAAGAAAGAGAATAAAACCCTGTAAATCATATTAACATAGTGAATACACAAGAGTTATTTTGTTTTGGGACTTGTTTTATTTAAATTCTGCTGCAATCAATATGTATATTGGAAAGCAATGCAAAACTCCTCTAGCAGATGATATTCTTCAATATTATTTGAACTTGAGAATGTTCCTCTTGACGTGCTGAGGTAATGCAGGCTTACCAAGAAAGATGTTCTAACTGAAACAGGTGAATTAGCAACTCTAAAAGAAGGTGGAAGTTGCACAAATAGGAAGAGCACTGTATTATATTTGACCAAAACCAGTTTGCCACACTGAAGCACTGTGGAGTTTTCCACAAGTTTAGGCTGTGGCAGGATGTTCTAAGCCTTCCTTGTATGAAGGTTTGGTCCTCCAGTCCTCTGAAGGGAGAAACTGTTTTCCAAAATGTGAACAGTCTACTGTGCTTTTTAGCAATGTTTCTTGAAAGTACATTTTAGGTATAAAGAGCAGAAAAAAATCTGTTATCAGGAATGATCACTTTCTCAACTACTTAATGCATGATACAAGACTTACCAAAATAGTTCTCGTTTTGAGTCATACTACATGAAGTCTCCCTTGCTGGCTTTGACATCATATCTGGAACAGCCAATGGTTAACAGATTCTGATTTGCATGTTATCAGCAAAACTGAAAAAAAAGAACAGAATTTTGTTCAGAATTACTTTTATTCTCCATGCCTCAAGGAACACAAGCACTTGTCAAACTTCAAAACTAATATATTTGAAAATCCCAGTGAGCTGTTAAAGACAACATCTCACTCATCAGAAGCCAGTACCAAATGATTCCACACACGAGGGACCTAAGTGAGGGCAATTTTAAAATAAGGTCTCATCTATGAAATCTTCTAACTGGTAGCACTTACTGTTTAGCTGATGTCCAAGACTAAGTCTGGAGCCTGCTTTTAGTAGCATGTGCTGTTCAAAATATGATCACTGCCTAAAAAAACTCGAAAATTTTCTATTTATGATTCTCAAAATTTTCACTGTGACCATTTAAAAGACTTATGAAAGAATGCCACACTTGCATTTATGAACAGCATGCACCTTCATACTGACTGCAATATGTTATTAAAAGCAAATATCTTCAGCTTGTTGCAGCTGAACCTTGTCAGAATGCAGTGTAGCAACCCAAAGTACCCATCTCATTTAGCTTCATGGCCTTGATGTTACCCATTAATAATATGATCATTATTTTTTCTGGAATCCAAACAGAGTCCCATATGAGCTAGTATTGGAATAATGGATCTCAGTCACTGCATGGCAGTGTCAGAGATAGAGAACACAATATTCTGGTGGGCTCTGCAACAGTTTTGTAATTCACACCTCAGGGCTTTCAGCACTGACTGTATCCTCAGCTGCTCTAAGGTCCAACAAATTATGTGATGCAAAAAACCCCTTTTGCATTGAATGCAAGAGACTAACTGGTGGGAGAAAATCATCTACCTGTTACACTATGCTTTGTTATCTGGGAACAATCCCAAACTGCCCCTCAGGACTATTCAAAGGTTGTACCAGAGTTTTTCAGAGCCTTCAAGATTACATCATTTATCTATAAAATACTATTTTGGATGCAATAATGTTTGCTATATCTGGAATTACTGCAAGCATCCTGGTAACAGAAGTAAAAACACACCATCTTCCTCTGCAAGAAGGTTTGTGAGAAGGTAGTTTTACCTTCAAGAAACCATTGAGCAGGTTATAATGTGCCCTGCTTAATAACCTCTTATTAAGCAGGGCACATTATAATAATGGTCTTTTCTGTCATCAGGTCTTGCAACACAAGTATGTAAATATCTTTTAATTCAGAAGGAAAGCACACCCATAATGGAATCTGAATTGTGCTTTACTGCTTCTAAAACTTCACAATGTACTGATTCCAAGAAGAGATGGGCCTCCATTTTCGTAAGCAAGAACCAGCTTTTTAAACTTATTGTCAGCCTGCAGCAGCTGCTGCACTATTCACACGTTCTTTCACCTTGCTCAAGGTGAAGCTCATTATTCTTGAAGGATTAAAGGAGTTTTTATGGGGCTTGCTGGTAGCAAGCTAGGGGTCAGTCTCTTCTCTCAAGTAACATGCAACAGGACAAGAAGAAACAGCATCAAGTTGTACCAGGGGAGGTTTAGGATGGATAACAGGAAAAATTTCTTCATGTCAAGCATTGGAACATGCTGCTTGGGGTAGCAGTAGAGTCACCATTCCTGGAGGGATTTAAAAGGTGTGCAGATGGGGACATGTTTTAGTGGTTGCCTTGGCAGTGTTCAGTTAATGGTTGCATTTAATATGAGAGGCCTTTCCAACCTAAAGGATTCTATGATTCTGTAACACTATGGCAACAAAATAGAACTTTTCTTAGATTCCTGAATTTCTAATGACATAAAGTGGTATTAATAAAAGAGTCTTAGGGCAAGCTAGAGCAAGTACTCACCAGAACACCAGAAAAAAAATGTTCTGACATGCTTAGAATATATTAAAATAATTCAGAATTCACCTGATTCTATCCTCCAAGTCAAAGGGAGCAAACCAGGAGGAAAGGTTCTCAGGTGTAATTCATGATGCAGTTTTCAGTGAGCACCTGTGACTGCAGACACTGATCAGACACAACCCTTGTTACTCCTCAAAGCGCTGTACAGAGAACACACAGATGCATGGAAGAATCATACTCACGATGTGGGTGCCTAAGCAGGGAGATGAGGAGAACCCTTGCCTGGGCTGTGACAGTTGTGACAACACTCACAGTCTGGTTGTGAAGAGCAAAACTCCCCACAGGGTGCTTTACTGTGATTTCATCTTTAAGGGAGGAGTAGCATTTAATCTTGCTAATGACATTTCCTAGGAACTGCTTCAGAGATGTTCTTTCATGTGAGAGAGTGAAATATTAAGGGTTAATAACTCAAATGATGGGCCACTTGCCAAAGCAGCAAGGTGCTGTGCTGAGCCCCTCAGCCAGAGGAGAGGAGAGCTTTGGGGTGTGTGCTGGGGAAACCTCTGGTGTGCAGAAACCCTTCCCAGGGGCAGAGGAGGTGAGCACCCACCACCTTTGTTTAGCAACAAGCTGATTTTGAGCCAGATGAGGGCAGAGGTTGATAAGAAGCAGATCCTGTGAGGTGGAATAGTGCTTTTGATCATGGCAATGTCCTCCCTTACACCAGCCAGGTGTAAAACTCCACCTGACCCTGAGGAAGACAATCACACAGAGGGCTCAGAGTTTTCATCCCTTCTCATGGGGCTGTAAGCCAGCTCAACTGCACTGACCTGAGTGACAGGTGAGGTCTCAGAGGGTGTCAGAAACCATCAAAGATCCCTTAAATGCCCCCAGACTTATTTCAGGGCCTTCCACAGAGAACTGTTTGTGACCCACAGTGCTGTATCAGACACTGTGACACCTCCCATGCCCCAGGGGAGGCACCTGGGCATTCCCACTCAACACTGAACCCACTGCACTTTGTGCTTCATGGACCAAGACTGACACCACCACCTCAACCAACAGACACTGAAATTGCAACCATCAACTATTGTCGCTGGATCCATGGGTGGTGATATCTTTCCTCTCTACCTACTCTTATCCTTTCTTCTTTCTTTCTTTTCCTTGTATGTTTTCTTAAGTGATATCTTCATACTTCTATATTGCTGTTTTTCTGTGGATACTAACCAAAACAGCTACATACCTCCTTGCCATTGCAACCAAATGGTCCTAAAATAAACCTGCTGTCTATCTCTGTAAAACCACGTTTCACTCTAATCCACCCCAAGGGATTATTAACAAGAACCCCAGTTACTCAGCCTTCAGGGGTGGGTCATAACATTTCCCACACCAAAATTATTTTTATTGTCATCAGTACAAATTAGGCTCCCAAGTCTTCTTACACATTTACAATGTCAAATTGGATTGATCTAAATCTATTTTCTTTGCTTCACAGATTTTTCTTCTACAATGGATATATACGTATTTGTGTAAATCTGTATTCTAAACCTTACTCTATTATTTTAAATAACAACTAGTAGTTTTAAAGAGAAGGTAAAATAAAATATAATAAATTATAACAACTTCTTAATTTATAAATAATAAATTAAAAAGAAAACCAATATTCAGCTTCCACTGTCAAACCTATCACTTCAAACTGCTCTGCTTCTATAAGGAAATTAAAGTTTTATGCCCCCAGTACTGGGAATCCAATAGGAGCCTGATCCTTTGCACATGAAATGCCTTCCTTTGCCTCAAATCTCAAAGCCAGCTCCGTTCTAGTTCTCTCCTTCCCATTCCATCTGAGCACTAAGGATTCCTTTCTGCTTTCCTTGGCCCATTATGACTGATATACATTTAACTATGCACACACATATCCATAAAATAAATAACCTGTTCTTCACTTTTATCCTCTGAAATATGAATTAAGGAATTGTCTTTGTGACAGTCTGCTCTTTAGTCTGTGCATTACCAGCAAAAGAATAATAATGCTCAATGGATTTCAATCAAGAATTAACAGGAGGAATGAAAAACATTTTATGCAGTTCCTTTTCTTCATATGCAGAGGTAAACCAAGCATATCTTCTCATATTCATGCAGGCAGACACAGTTTGAGAGCGTCAGCACAGTAAAAAGTTAGTAGGGAACAAACACACAAAAAAACCTTCCTGGTTTTGTTTATTTACCACTACTTCACAGCACTTTTTCCTATTGCAAGTTAACCAGTTTGACATTGCTGAAAGAACCTTTGACCAACACCAGCAGAACAAAAGAAAAAGCCTTGGAATAATTAAAGTTTTTTAATAATTTATTATTTTTCAATAAACTAAAAGCAAACTAAAATAGGGCTCAATATTCACATGACATTTGAAATTTTACTTACCAGATTTTACTGAGGGAAGGAAGGGTAGACTAAGCACCCCCCTTTGGCTCTCTCATTTTGGTAATTCCTCACTAGTGTATGTACCTACAAAAGACTTCATCTGAATTCCAGTTTAATCTCTCCCTTGACTATCCTAGAGACATTCTGTTTAAACATCTTCTCATTTTCTACAAGTCATGTTATGTGTTTCTTCCCTGAAGTGCAGTGTGTTGTCCTGAGAGGGTAATACAGGTAACATTTAATACCTAATTGTAAAATAATAGTAGCATTTATCAACCCTGAGTTCCACTGGTACTAATTCTCACAACATATACCCACACAACTGAACCACAAGCTCTGGTACTCCAAAATCCATTTTTAGTTTCAGCAGCAGGGAAGGATGTAAAGAAAAGTCCATTTGCATGGAGACCAGTGACAAAACCAAATCTCTGTCCTGGTTCTGACAGTTGCCCTTAGGATTTTCACTCACTCTCCCTAAAATACAGTGTTTGTGCAATCACAAGGAAGCAAGAAAAACAAAGGATCCATAAAACACATCTGAATTTCTCTTTTAATGGCAGCTCATTTTCCATTTGTAGTTTTGCAATGAGCATTCATTATTTCAACAACAAAACAGTGGGTGATCCACAAGGTCTATGGGGAAGCCTTTAATTTCAGTTTCCTTTGTGTAATTGTTGATAAAAATATCCTCAGAGTAGACACTAGACACAAACAGCTCTGCATCTGGCTACAAGGATGTAGGTGGAATATGTAAACTAAACAATATACAAATTAATACATACCACTAATGCAGGTGTAACCTGAAAAATCACAACTTCTGTTTAAAATACATAGAATTTAATTTTACAAAATGACCAGCACCTTTAAAAGTGGAATACACTGCTTTCACCTGAAATATTGTTGCATTTCTCAGACACCTGGAATCAAGTGGCTGCTTTGCCACATGCACTCCAACAAATACTGTTTCAGCAAATGTCACTGGAGAAGCCCTCATGTTAAACAGCTTACTGGAGGTCTGACACCCAAAAAAAAACCCAAGAAAGCCTTCCTGTAGTTAAACACATATTTGCTACAAATATTAGTATTACGCACCAGAACAGCGCAACATTTATGAACATCTGAAAATGTTCCGGCCACGTGGAAACACTATGCCTGCATTCTACACTTTTAAATTTTATTTTGCTCTTGATTTTAATTATCAAAGCAGATAGAAGTTTAAATATTGAAGGATCTAAGCATAAATTCATTAAACTTGTAAGTTGATTTATGTAAGCAGAGAAAAACAGGAAAGTAAAAACAACTGCAAAATATTTTCAGTAATTGAAATAAAGTAACTGACATTAAGTAGGGAAGGGAAATCTGATTTTGTTTTAATATGCAATTTTAATATAACACCTACTTAGGGTGGCATTTGAGAGCTAACATAAATATTTTAACATTCTAAATTGCATCTTTACTGAACTGTACATAATCGCATTTATTATTGCAATTTTCACTGAAACAGAAACCTGGTAAACACAGATTTAATCTCAGTACCTTAAAGCAGTAACAGAGCTGTACCTTTGCCTGCTCTCTATGTCCATCTTCGCTGTGCCCAGGACTATTTCCAAGTGGAAATGACTCCTTAAGCTATAAATGCACAGTAAGAGACATAACCGCCTGCATGACTGAAATGGCTTCCGGAAGGAGGAGGCAAAATCTAAACTGTCACCTCCAACTCTGTTTCTCAGTGACACGGAGGCAGACTCCCACAAATAGCTGAAAGTTATATTAAGAGGTTCTGTGATGTCCTGCCAGGGTCTTTACTAGGCTTCTGGAGTACAAAGGTCATATATTGTTTATTTATAGATAAGGAGGATACTGCACAAACCACGAGGCTTAGGGAAGCCTGGGCTTCTAAGCTAAATAATTCTGTGAAATAATGCAATATACAGATTTTGAGAAATTAATTAAAAGGTGTCCCCATTAGCTAATATACAGTTTTGATTTGAGAAGAAAAGACACATGTCTAAATATTGCTCAGCTGGGGCAGAGCTTACCTTAACTTCCTATTAAAAATAAATTTACAGGAGATTCCTCCTCATTTAGATAGACTGAGCAGTGTTGTGATGAAAAGTCCTCTTACTATGTATTTGTAGAGCATTTAGCACAGCTGTATCTTTTGTCTCTACACACAAAACTACTTTCTCCTTTGCATTTGATGGTTGGACTTGACAATCCTAGAGCTCTTTTCCAACCTAAACAATTCCATGATTTTTGTAGCAACTGTAGATGTTTTAAGTACAATGCTAGGTGTTCACCCTCGGCTGCAGGGCTTGGTTAAGGTTTGATTCTCACCCCAGTCCTGCCAATCACTTGGTCAAAATCACTCGTGCCTTGCCTCTGCTCCCTTGGGACCAGGTAGTAGAGTGCTAATGTTTGCCAGACAGCTGTTGGGTGCCTTAATTGTCTCCACAAAGGGAAACACAATTACTGCAAATTCCCATCCAAGGATATTAAATGCACGCAGTGTCTGTCAGTACCATCAGCTAATCAGTCAGTATTTTGAGTGCATACAAACACAGGCTGTTCTCTAACAAATATTTTTTTCCTCTTTTCAGGTAAAGGAAGGACTAAAGTAGCCCCCAGTCCTGAGTGAACCCTGCTTTACCTTCCACACCTCACTTAGGCTGGAAAAAGAAAACATATTGTGCCTCTCTCTCCAGACACTGCTTTTATTTGAACATTTCTGATTTTCAAACCTGACAGAGCCTCTAATAAGATGTAATAGGAAAACTGAAAGTCAGTCCCAAGAGTCAGAAAAACACTCCATTCTAACCTGTCTGAAATGCAGCAAACAGCTTCAAGAAAGAAAATGAACAGACAGAATTAGTTCAGTATTCTGTATTAAGACACTCTTCTACTGTATCAGTCCGAAAAACGGGTGTACACTTGACATATATTGCCTCTGGAAAATGTATAAAGTTGCTGATTTTAAAAGTTTATATTCAGGCTTTTTGCTTAGGCTGAATTCAGTTTGATTAAAAACAGTATTTTCCCAGTTGCTGGTGAATGCTTTGCCTGCTAAATAAACAGCTTTTTCCACTTTTTTTCTCCAAGGAAATATTTTCCCAAACCAGCTGGGGGCAGAGCCACTTGAATTTGCTTTCTGGAAGAACGAACCCCTTTGGAAGTTTTCTCCCAAATTTGCCCCAAACCAGGACAACTGATTTCTTACCTTATGTGAAAAATACAGCTAATGGGGATGCTCCTAAGGCAGTGAAGCTGGTCACTGCTGGTCACTCCTGTCCCACAGTGGTGAGGTTTATGGATTCCTGCGATGATGGGCAGGACCATTTTCTCAATCTATTGACCCTCACAGTTTCCTTCCAATTTCTGCTCAACAGCAACACCTGTGGGAAAAATAATTCCCAATTTTACTGCTTCCAGCACCTCAAGCTACTTTTGACATGGCTTTTGATGGGTTGCATCTTTTACTGCCATCAATGTACTGTCCATGGCATTTTCTCCTGACACCTGCTATCCTGCTGCCCTCATTCCTCTCCTCTCCAGAAGACTTTTTCAGTCATTCTGCTTCCTTCCTCTTTACTCTGTCTATCAAGAATACTTACAAAAACACAGAAATATGTTTTGCTTAGACACTGGGTTAAATGTCAGCATCCACATTTATCTCCTGCAGTGAAACAGATTTTCAGCACAGCTTCTCTGTTTTCCACTGCTAGTGACACCACTGGTGACAGGTTTTCAAGTGAGCACAGCATCAACCTGTTTCTGCTCCAATTCTTATGATGGGATATTTGGAATAGCTCAGGGCCAATACAGCTAAGCATTTTTCAAAGTCCAGTCTTCTCTCCTGCAGTCTAAATAGGACTTCAGAATTTTTGACATTGTGACCCTAATCTTTCAGTGCCCTATTATATCATATAAAATGTAAGGTATTTTGTCTTCTCCCAAGCTTAATCTTTTCCTAAGGAATTTAGGATATAAATAGATCAAATATTTTATTATACACAGCTTGCCTTGAATTTTAACCTGGAACTCTACTCATTTAGAAATACCACAGTTATGTTATGTAATGTAATGTCATGTCACGTCATGCATTATATTTATTTTGTCAGAAGAGAAGATTTGACTTCTAAGACAGCTCAGTTTTAGCAGACTAAGATTTGCCAAGTCCATTTGCATTAAAAAACCTTCTCAAAATGAACTCTAGTAAGGAAAAATTCCTACAGACAGCAAGACCCTACTGTGACTTAGTTAAAATCAGTCTCTCCATTATTATGACTTTGTATATTTGTTTGGCTGGTCATTTGGTTTTGCAGGAATAATCTTATTACTCTACAAAACCCGGTGAGAAAATTGTAATTTTAATAATTTTCTCTTTCCATTGTTTTCCATTTGAAGCTCTTCCTGTGTTCTTATTTCATAGAAGGTGCTATGAAGGGGAACCATGTCTGTAGACAGTGGCTCAGGCAGCTGAAGTTACTGAAGTATTTATTAGCCCATCCCAAGGAGATCGTGTGTCTCAGTATGTAACAGGCTGATGATCCATGTTCTTCCTATCTTCTTTAGATTTCAGGGCTCCTCATGCAACTTTACCTCTCTCTTCCCACTACTTCTCTGTCCTATTCATCCCTCTTACCACTGGCAAACAGAAACATCCCAGAACACGTTGATCTCAGTAAGCTCCCAGTTAGAATCAGGGCTCTACACAAAATGAACACTATCCAACACAGGACAGCAAAGTCAAAAGCATGTGGTGTTTATCCAGCAAACAAAAAAACCACACCATAAGTGTTATAACAGGATTAAACTTTACAAACAGAGAGGTACCCCCAGACTCAGTACCCCAGCACAACCCAGTGTGAAATGCACAGAGGAGTTAAATGCATGCCCAAATGATTCATTAACTGGAACCCACCAGAGGTTTTCCTGCTATTACCAAATATGCCCCTGCTTAAAACTGATATGGCTGCTAAGACTTAACTTCTTTTGAAGCACAGACCCTTTAGGTTATACTTATTTCCCTCACAAGGCAACCCAGTCCTAGATTACTTAACCGTGCTATAACCACCACACTAACCTAATGCCTAAACACAAATTACACCTCAAAAATACAATCTTAAAATCCTTTTCTAGTTTCACTGTCAGATTCTATAAGGCATCCTTTCATCTCCAACTAGCACGAGGTAGTTTGAAAACAAATAAAAAGGAAGGGGCTCTTCACAACAGGTGTGTTCTGCTGTAGGACCCCTTGCGAGGGAGGCTGCAAGGCTCAGAGGGAGGTCGGGCAAGTTTACAGAACAGAAATCACTTCAGTTGCTAATGAGAAATAAACTATGCCTGACTGCATGTTTCTCTGGGGTGGGGGAGCACCGAGAGATCACTTAGCTGAAATATGATCTACAATTTCCTTGTCCTTACACACTTCCTTAGGCATCTGGGTTTAGACAGGGCTGAGGACAGGTGCCAGTCTGAGCAGCTGGACAGTCCTCCTGCTGCAGGATGAGTCCCAGCACCAAGCTCAGATGTTCCAGCCCTTCCTGAAGGGAATTCTGACTCCATGCACACTGCTGTGGAGCAAATGATCAGCAATAATTAAACAAAATTCACAGTATTGCACACTGAGGCTTAACCAAATCCTGTTTCAGTCCATTGGCTCAAATTGAGCAAAAAAGTTTCACAATTTTTAAACTTTACCTTTCTAAGGAAAAAGCTAGCCATTTTTTTCAGTTTCACCCAAAACTAAATAGCTCCAGACACAGTTAAAGAATAACAGAAGTTTTGTGAATTTTTAATGCAGTTCAGTATTATATTCCAAATGAAATTTCATACTTCCAGCCAAATCAGTACTGCTCTACTGATCACCTCAAGTTCTAGTGATCCATTACCAAGTTTAATAACTTTGAATTCAACCTGTCCACATGCACAGATGAGTCCTGAATATTCTTAGCTGAATCATGGAGCAAAAATTATTGAATTTGTGACAAACACACATTTGCCTCTTCCCCACTCTTATCAGAATCAGATGTAAGAAGAAATTCCACCAGAAAAGTTTTTTTCAAGAGGCTGCCAACTGATTCTACAGATTTAGCTAAAGGCAGAATTCAGTGCATTTCTCCAAACAGATTCTCCTCATCTCTCTGCAGAGGATACAAGAACAAAATTAGAAAAGGGGCAAGGGTCATGGCTACAGTAACACAGCAACTTCACAGATTTCTACAGGCCTTTGTGGGCAGCCAAGGTCATATTTTCATTTTTTAGGTGAGAACTTTAAGATACTGAATCTTGAAATGGATTATCATTTGGCCAACTGAAATTTCACCCAAACACACTTGGCAATCAATTCCACCAATCTTAATTAAGGAAACTGTTGAATTGTTTCGACTGAAGGTGAAAATTCTGCCTCCTGTCTTTAAGCAATACAGCAGTTTTCTTAAACTGCTGAAAAGAGCCCTGCAGTGGTAACTTTGAAAGGAGGCCAATATGATTTAACCAGGTGAGACTACCCTTGGATTATGTGCTCTGCACATACTGTTGCAGGCTCAGAGTCACCCTAACTGTTGTGTCTTTGTTTTTCTAAGTGTAGGGAGAGAAAAATCTAGCCCCTCTGAGGTTTGGGATCTAACCCATCTTTGTATCATTTTTAATACCGATTTTCCTGTGGCTTAAATCAATCCTCCCACTATGCACAGGAGGCTACTGGGATGTGTCCTGTGAACCCCCTCCTTTTCCCCTAGCAGACTCTGCCTGATGATCTCATTCTCCACTCATATCTTCTCATCCCATCTGTAGGCCAATAAGTCATAAATCTGTCCCTTCTTTCATGGCTTGTCTTATTTAATCTCATCCTGTCTCATTTCTCTTCTTGGGTGTTTTGTTGTCAGTTATGACTCACTATAACTCAGACTTAATTCATAACTGAAGTTCTCTTCCCTCCCCACATTACTGTTCAATAAATGCTACTTAGGTCCAATGAGTGCCCTGCCTTCACAAAAAAAAAGGGGGGGGGAGGGGGGAAACCCCTAAACTAATTAATGCCTCCATCTTTAAGTTGAATGGGTGCATTCTGACTAAACAACTTTCGTCTTTCACATGACTTTTTGTTTATTTAGATAATAAAGACACCCACTCTGTGTGAGTTAAGCACAAGAACTGCAGAACATACCATGTGTGTGGACCAATTACTGCTGTAGGATATGAAAGTGCAAATACCTGAGTACCTTGCAGATTAATCTCCAGTGGTTCCTCTTTGTGTGTTCTGAGTTCATTTTGCCAGATTACTTCTTTTTCTTTTTTCTTTTTAGGGGCAGCCTGAGACAGATATGCTGGAAGAGCAGAAGAAAAAGCCATCTGAGTATGAATTTAGTCAGAAAACACAGAATAAACACAGCAAAAGTCAAAACATCATTACTAAAGTATTGTTACCCCCTACAGTCTATTTGACTGATAAATGCAACATACCATGCAGAACAGGTAAACAAGCAACAGCAAACAAACCATGTCATTTCATAGGAAAGGATGGAAAATATTTGCACTGCTCCTTTAGCAATTGTTTTGAATCTCCTGAACTGAACCACCCTCAAGACTACTGGCAGTGCCTGAAGCTTTGCTGGATTTAGTGGCTGCTTTGCCAACCCCTCTCCTGCTCCCCTTCTTCCCCTTCATCTGTTTTAGCTGAGGTACAACATCTGTGTACACAGACACCTCACTGGCTTAGGCCAGCTCACCCACAGTGTGCACATTACAGCAAAGCTACAATCCAAACCTAAGGAAAAATTTGCATCTCTTGGTTACTCAGGAACTGGGGACAAATGATTTGTCATCAAGACTGTATCACCTGCCACAAAAACTGGCATAAGCTTGCACTGAGTAAAGTGATGCTGCACCATTTCATACAAGCAGAGAATATGGGAAAATGCCCTGTGAAATTCTTCTAAATTCATCAGAATGAACACCAGAGAATTGTTTTCTCTTGAGGCCGGTAAGAAAATGTGTGTTCTACCTTTGTGGAAGAGTTGGTCAACTGACCCTAACATGAAGATAAATCAATGTAAGTACACATATATTGCAACTTCACATAGAGCTGGGTGAGAACAGAAACATTACAGAATGCCCAGAGTATACTTCAGTTCTCCTTCTTTGGTATTTTCCTTGATTCTGCTCATCTTGGAGTTTTCTCCAGGCAGCCCCACCAACCTGACACTGCCAGGGGCCATTTCAGGCACAAGTCCAAGTCTCCTCTAAGCGCTGGTTCTCCCAGTCTCTGCCTCTCCTTGCCATTCTGTCCTGACCACTGCATGGCAGATTGATGTGTCACCTCATCACAGGTCAGACAGCAGCACAGAGGTCTAATTAAAATCCAGATCCAGTAGCAAAAGACCCACACACTTGTTCCCAGTTTCAAACACTTCTGTTTGCTAAGCTTTTGCCTTTCTCTGAACATAGGGCTCTACACATCCATTTCAAACAGGTTCTAAAATGCATTTATTGTACATGTAAAGTATTTTCCATAAAGGTATTTTTTATTAAATATCGCCGAGCTTGGGTCTCTTATGAATATTGAGGCAAGCCTGAGATTTTTGAAACTTGGGGCAATGTGATTTTAGAAGATTTAATCTTCCCTAAAAGCAATTTCTAAATATTTTGGGTCCCTCTGAAGATTGCTGAACCTAATCACCCAAAATCCACCCAAAATTTAAGGCAAGGTATATTGTGAAAAAGGACAGAGTGGTCACTATTTGGGTGAGATGAAATGATTTACACATCAGCAACATCCCATGGAGCTCAAAACAACATCATTTCCTGGTAGGCAAATTCTGCCAGTAGCTGTAATATATAATCTCCCTATAGTAAACTGTAAGGCTAGAGTGGAAAATTATAGATAAAGAAAACTCCATGCACTGAGTAACTAGAGGGAGTCTAAAGTTGAGGATCTAATAATTCTTACCTCTATCAAGGTGCAACAAGAATAAGCTGAGAAAGCAAGAATGCCTGGCAAGACCCCAGGCTCTCCACAGCTGCAGAGATGCCTCATTGTTCTGGAGAATTTTAAGGCTGATCTCATGTGGAGGGAACACGAGACATTTCTTTTTGCTGCCCTGCTGCTGATGCAGGTGTCTGGAAGGTGCATTTACCCACACAGCCCAGTGCTGGCTTCCCCTTTTCAGGGCTGCTCAGGCACAGTGAGCAGCAGGTGCACAGGGAACAGCTCTGGGGCAGCCAAACTTCTGCTGGCTTGTGGCAGGGAAAGCCCAGGGAAAACTCTCTTTTTAAAAAAGAGATGTCTTCCTTGGAATTCTTCCATTTCAAGCTCTGCTTTGCACAACGAACTACTCTAGATTTATGATTTCCTGGTGATTATTGCACATTCAAACAGCAGCTGACAGTTCACTCTGCAGAATGAAGGGAACACCCAGGACAAGCAGGTGGTCACTCCTTCCCCATGCTCTAACACACACTCAGACAAAACACTACCAGGCTGGGGGGCACCTGCACACTTCTTCCTCTGGACTCTTCCTCTGGATTTCTCTGGATGTGAGAGTGCCTGAGTAACAAGTTTATGGGATTCTTCCTCCAAACCCAAGAAAGTTTCTCTCTGAAATGTGTAAATGATATGGCTCCAAGTTCTTCCATTTTACATTTGCATGGTACTATGGATTCTCAGCTTTCTCCTGCTCTGACAGAAACTGCATCTCGGGTTGCTACACATTCCCACTGAAAGCAAGTGGAATGCTCTCACTGGCTTCAAGGAGAGCCAGAATGGCTTTTGTGTTAAAGTATAGCAAATGATATCCATCCCACTGAAAGCAAGTGGAATGCTCTCACTGGCTTCAAGGAGAGCCAGAAATGGCTTTTGTGTAAAAGTATAGCAAATGATATCTGTTCCCTTGGGCAGCATAAAATACTGTACTTGGTACATAAAAACTGTTTGACTAAGAAAAAAGACCCAAAATTTCTCTTTTTAGTGCTTCAAACCTTTTCAATGACTCTGACCCTCCAGGCATCTGCAGTACTTTAATAGGGCAGTGGAGGAAGAAAAACTGGAAAAAAACACAACTGAAATATGAGTAAACGACTGAACCTACAACACAGATCTGTAGCAAGCCTGGTTTCACTGCCAGTGAAGTCCAAGACAAGTTTCATCTTCACAGCAAGCAGCAGAACATTTTTACTCAGTATGAAAAAGCATGAGCACTTTACAAGTTCATATATTTAAAACATGTTGCCCATAATTGGGTCAAGTGAACGTTTACACCACATGATTTTTCCTCCCAAGCTCTTGCAAAGTCCAGAGCCTTCTTTTTGCACTTTCTGAGAGAGACAAAACAGTATGAAAAGTCTGGGTTGCCCTACACCTTCCTTTCTCAAGGAGAAGACAAATGTGTAATTCTTACTTCAAGATTAAGTTTTATTACTTGGGATATTGTTGTGGATTTCAAATCTGGTTTAATTCACCCAAACATCAACTGACAAAGCAAAATCTGACCTTTCCTTACACAGCCAGCAAAAAAGTATCCCTGGCAGGCTGAAGCACACAGACAGGAAAAAACACCTTTATCTGTTCCAGGGTTTGCACACACACACTCTTTGCAGCCTGCAGTGCCCACCTGGCAATTCTGAAAATCTAAGCCCTGCACGGTACCACTGCTATTTGACTGGGGGATGAGATCCACAAAGAATACCACTTAAAAAGAAATTCTGACCCATAAAGTCACTATCCTACTCCATAGGTGTTTTCTCTGCCAAATGCAACTGGTCCAAGTCTGTCATCATGTGTCCCATCTGCCTCTCCAGTGACCCCGTACTGGTAAATCCTACGCAGGTAAATCCCCGAGGAGCTTGTTCCAGGAAGGGCCTCTAATGCTGCATGTGGAGAGGGCAGATGGGATTTGCAGCAAGCCACAGCTTGATCATCCTGAGAAAATGGCACTCCTTAGCCAGGCCCTTTCCTTTAACACATGTATGGGGGGCCCAAAAAGCCCCTAAAGCAAAGGAACAGCCCTGCTTGGCCTCACAGGGGCTTTAAAGGCTGTGAAAAAATCAAATGCTACAGGAATAACATCCAAGAGTCACAGGCACAGCCTTTGTTAGTGCTGAATGCAATGATGATGATGATTTGAAGAAGCCAAACTTTACATCAAGAATCTGACTGAAGGGATTTGGACCTGACTAGAGGGTTTAAGCTAGGAGATGTTCCTTACAGTAACCCAATCTAGCTCAATGAGACTGTTATATCAAATCCATATTTTTATTTTTGTATCTACAGTGGAACTGCACTACCAAATATATTGACTTGAGCTGGCCACAAAGGAAAGTGCTGGCAAAAACGATTCTGAAATCATTTTAGTTACATAAAATGCCTGTGCTGCTCTGGCATGTTCCATCAAGAAACAGTTCACAAGGCTCTGCCTTGAAGCTCACGCTTATTACTTACATGAACAGAAACCAGCACTTAGGATGAACCATCTGTGTTTTAAATACAGGAGACTGAGGCATGGAAAAAGAATAAAGTCCATCCTCTCCTAAGAAACAGTGAAAAATACTATCCAAAGTAAATACATGATTTGTGAACTATTACACATTGGACTTTTATTTTCAGTTAGATGCTTCCTAATCCTTTTAGGACCAGAATATCATTAGTCTAATTGAAGACTATGTGCCTTTATTTCCTCCTTCCCCTCGGAGCAAGGCCACACCAATCAGCGTGTGTGCATCCTGCAAATCACTCTCTGGGAGCAGTGTGCTTTCCTCAGCAGCTGGATGCTGGCTTCATCACTGAGCTCCACTCAGCTGCTCTGCTACTTGCCACTAAAATGCAGCACGTCAATCACTCGCACTGCTCACGAGAATTAGCACAAGTCTAATTAGAAACTAAACACTGTGTTATCTGCAATGGTTTGGAGATGGAGTAAGCTGATACGTGTTTTAGGAACCTTTCTTGCCGCACAGTAGTTCGTGATAACACCCACCTCACAGCCCATTAGCGAATCAAAATATTATACTGTATAAATACTACTTTGCTCTTTTCCTTTTTACAGAAGCCCCAGGTCTCAGAAGCCTCCATTACCGAGCACATGTGCCTTGGTTATATTGGAACATTGTAGGAAATGGAAAGCAGCCCTGACGGTCCAAAAACAGCAAAATGAAAGCCAGTATACTGTATACTTTGGTCCTGTCTCTAGAGAAGCAGCCCCAACTAGCCTCCAGACATTTTACACTGCAATACCTATTGGCAGAACCAAAGAAACTCTACCCTGCATGACACTGCATGGACTGTGAGTCCGTCTGCACAGGGCTGATCCCTTTTGCTCCCTCTTTCCTGGAG